CCTAGCAAGTGATGTAAGTGAGGCAGAAACCATATAAGGCTTTAAGTGAGGTATGATAAAGCTCGGGGCAGGGAGAGAGAGGACCCTAGTAGCACTCATGAAGAGGCGGGCCAGGAGTCGAGTCACTAACCCCTCAAAAACTACAAAAATAAAACCAAAGAATAAACAAAACACAACCAACACACACACACAAACACACACACACACACACACACACCAACACACACACACACACACACACACACACACACACACACACACACACACACTCGTGAGAGTGCTAAGCATATTTGGTGACCATAATTATTTGTCAGTACCAAACGCACAGAGTTTAGCATACTAATAAAAAAAAATGCATGCACTAGATAAAGTTTAGACTGACTTGGTTGCCTGGGTCGAGGTGGTGTTGTGGGAAGCAGTGCGAGGTTAATAACCAGGAGGAACACACAAACCAAGATTGATGACGGTACAACCAGCAGGCGCAGCTTCCTGTACATAGTGGCTACCGCAACACCCGGCAGCTTCTGCACCACCTGGCAGCTACTGCACCACCTGGCAGGTACTGCACCACCTGATGGCTACTGCACCACCTGGTGGATACTGTACCATCTGGTGGCTACTGCACCACCTGGTGGCTACTGCACCACCTGGTGGCTACTGCACCACCTGGTGGCTGCTGCACCACCTGGTGGCTACTGCACCACTTGGCAGCTACTGCACCACCTGGCAGCTACTGCACCGCCTGGTGGCTACTGCATCACCTGGCAGCTACTGCACCACCTGGTTACTGCACCACCTGGCAGCTGCTGCACTACCTGGTGGCTACTGTACCACCTGACAGCTACTGCACCACCTGGCAGCTACTGCAACACCTGGTGGTTACTGACCACCTGGTAGCTACTGCACCACCTGGCAGCTACTTCACCACCTGGTGGCTATTGCATCACTTGGTGGCTACTGCACCACCTGGCAGCTACTGCACCACCTGGTAGCTACTGCACCACCTGGCAGCTACTTCACCACCTGGTGGCTACTGCATCACTTGGTGGCTACTGCACCACCTGGCAGCTACTTCACCACCTGGCAGCTACTGCACCACCTGGCAGCTACTGCACCACCTGGCAGCTACTGCACCACCTGGTAGCTACTGCGCCACCTGGCAGCTACTGCGCCACCTGGCAGCTACTGCACCACCTGACGGCAACTGCACCACCTGCATTACCTGGAGGTCAAACACAAAAGAACTTTTAGTATTTCAGTGAAACTAAATGTAATAAATTATAAATGATTGTCCTGGACACACCTGAGTGTAACAGTCCTTACGATATTCTGTATTAATTGCAACACGTCCCCATCAAATATCTGAGTTCACACCCCTTCATGCCTGTGAAGGGCTCTTGATGCTATGAATATGAAAATATAAAAAAAAATGGATTTCAAAACGTAAACGACCGAGTTGATTAGGTATTTTCAATGATGCACAAAAGTGGACAGTACTTACCTCCAAGAAGATATAAACAGAGTTTTCCAGTGGGCAACGGTAAACAATATGATGTTCAATGAGGACAAATTCCAACTACTCCGTTATGGAAAACTGGAGGAGATAATAACTAGAACAGAGTATACTACTGACTCCGGCCATACAATAGAGCGGAAAAATAATGTAAGGGACCTGGGAGTAGTAATGTCTGAGGATCTCACTTTCAAGGATCACAACAGTGCCACGATCGCACGTGCAAAGAAAATGATAGGATGGATAATGAGAACTTTCAAAACGAGAGATGCCAAGCCCATGATGATCCTTTTCAAATCACTTGTTCTCTCTAGGCTGGAATACTGCTGTACATTAACATCTCCATTCAAAGCAGGTGAAATCGCAGATCTAGAGAGTGTACAGAGATCCTTTACTGCACGTATAAGTTCTGTCAAGCACCTTAACTACTGGGAACGCTTGGAAGCACTTGACTTGTACTCGTTGGAACGCAGGAGGGAGAGATATATCATAATCTACACTTGGAAAATCTTGGAAGGAATGGTCCCAAATCTGCACACAGAAATCACTCCCTACGAAAGTAAAAGACTGGACAGGCGATGCAAAATGCCCCCAATAAAAAGTAGGGGCGCCATTGGTACACTAAGAGAAAACACCATAAGTGTCCAGGGCCCAAAACTGTTCAACAGCCTTCCATCAAGCATTAGGGGAATTGCCAATAAACCCCTGGTTGCCTTCAAGAGTGAGCTGGACAGATACCTAAAGTCAGTGCCGGATCAGCCGGGCTGTGGCTCGTACGTTGGACTGCGTGCGGCCAGCAGTAACAGCCTAGTTGATCAGGCCCTGATCCATCGGGAGGCCTGGTCATGGACCGGGCCGCGGGGGCGTTGATCCCCGGAATAACCTCCAGGTAACCTCCAGGTACTGAAGGAATTATCATAAATTTACTTCGCTTACATAGTTTTAAAACAAGTGAAAGGAAGACTGTTAGGAAGTGACGTGAGCTTGAAAGACAAGTGTGAAAAAAGTGCCAATTGTCACAATTGCTGTTTGCAGATTACACATTGCTATGTGGGAGTAGAAGAGAAGCTGCACAAGTTGGTGGTAGAGTTTGTTAGAGAGTACAGAAGAAGGAACTCACAAGTTACTGTATGACAGAGCACGAAATGAAAGATGGAGTCAGACTAGAAAGGAATATAGAAGAAATACGTATAGCATATTTCGGTATCTGGGAGTGAATGTGTCAGCGGAGTGGCTTCATCGTCACTTGTGGCGAAACGTTTCCTGTGTCTTGAAATGCACACAAGTGTCCTTTTTCCATAGCTTGTCGGCGTCACCAAACAATTTACAACCTTATATTGAGAGGAGCATTTCTGATACGCTTTGTTCACCAGGTATTTTGTAAATTTTTTTTGCTGAGCCAAACGTTATTGCAATAAATATCTTATTAGTTGCATTAACCTAACATACAAACCACTTGCAAATAATTATATGAATAACACACATACACATGAAATTACTTGCAAAATAAAGAGAATTCCAAGCGCCCTCGCGGGCTAAGTCCTAACCACTTACCCTCTGCATCAGTCGTTTATTTTCAACATTTATTTTACAGTTAATTAACCTTTTATGCCGTGTTTCTCACGTAGCAATGAATCATTGCAAGAATCTCCATTACGACGAGTTAGCATTGTCCCTTCTAGTGGTTATCACCCTGTGTTTATGTCCATAACTATTCGTGGTTATCTTTTAACTGCCAGTAAGGAGCAACACATCCTTGACTCCCAGTATCAACACTGCCAGCCTTCCTCCCACACCACTACACTCTCAGCTACTGAGGTACCGTGTTTCCTAGCCTCGTCTCACTCATCGTCCCCATTTTCTCCCTCCCTTTAACACTTCCTACTATCCCCCTCCCCAAATCACACCCCACTTCCTGACTCCCCCACCCCCTGCATTAAACGTTGTTCAACACAACAGAAATTCTTTCTGCTCTGCGCAGTGAAGCAACTCCCTGAACTAAACTGAAGGGACTCAGAGGTAAGGACCCATTAGGGGCAAGGGAGAAGTGGAGATAGTTGACGAATAGGTAGGGGAGAGGAAAAGAATAAAGAAAAATGATAGGGAAGCAACTCCTGGGTTCAATGGTGTAAATATTACCGCTATCTTGTGGTTACCAGAGGCGTCTATCAGCTTCATTTCTATCGCGCATCTCAACATACGATGTTGCATTCATAAAGATATGAATTAACTCAGTGTGCAATTATGGCAATGTAGATGAAGTGCCCATTACTTGGTTAGTTTGGTTATGTACCGCTGCGTCTAACCAGTAAAAGGATGAGTTATCACAAACAAGAGTTTAGTGGATTTCTTTTCACAACTCAATTTACTAGATAAGAGCAATTATTCTCCCTCAGCACATTTCATAGAGCGCCTGGGGGAATGGGAGGCTCGATCCAAGTAGGTTTGATCTAAGAAAAGGAAGGACTAATACAATTCCTTGGATCAAGAGCCACTGGCCGGCATCAGGGCACCTTTCGAGATGGGTTCACAAATACGTTTTAACAAGGGGGACTAAATATATTCATATATGACTGTATTCAGCACTAAATACTATGTTTTCAGGAATATCGATAAGAAATATTATATATTTACTTTACGGTGTATTCATTTCAGTAACATTAATACTAGAAAATATTAGATATAGGTAGCTGAGAACTGTATGTGGTACATTGACTTAGAATTATGACGTCATTAAATGCTTGTTAATAAAACCAATAAACATACAATTACACAGTTTATTAAAACAAGAGAGACCAGAACAGGAGTACTGGATAGCATATATAACAAAGATCAACCAGAAACTCTGTGTTAGTCTTGAGGTTACTTTCTGTTGTAGAACCTGTTAACCTCTGTATTCCTGACCGATCATAAAATATTGGGTTCCACTAAGAGGAATCCGTCTTGGAGAACTCAGCCCCTTGGGCAAATTATGCCACAGATGTTAATAGTCTTGAAGGTCGGCACTCCAAAGAAACTTCTATCGTAATCTATCGAAAATTTCAGGGCTCCAGTGAGTAAGGGGAGTATGACCCCAGGAAACAGGCTCTCCGTCTTCCAATTCTTCCGTAGCAAAGAAAAACAAACTGAAGGCTACAGCCAACAGTGGATGATATTTCGCCCCGATGTACTAGATTTGTACTCATACATAAGGCTGGATGTGTCTCACGGGTTCAAGAGAGGGACGTTCCTTAGAAATTCAAGAGGGAGGGACATGCCTCACAGGTTCAAGGTACTTTCATCCCTCTTGAACCAGTGACAGTCGTTTATTGGTTTTTTTTTTCTAAAACATTGACACGGCTTGTGAGAAGCCATAGCTTTGTCTATTCTTTCAGACTGTTGGTTGTGAGAGAATATCGATGAAAAGCTAAAAAAGACTGTTGTTAGCTCAGTACAAACTGGTAAAGGCTCGGAAGCGCCTGGTAATAACAGTACAGGATAGTGTAAGTTCAGTACAGGCTTGTATTGTCTCAGTACCGTCGGTTGATGGCTCGGTACAGGCTGATAAAAGCTCATTACAAGCTAGTGTTAACTCAGAGCAGACGGGTTAAGGCTCAGTACAGTCTGGAGTAAGCTTAGATCGGGCTGGTGTAAGCTAAGTACAGATATCTAAAGTCTCTGAACAATACTGACTACTGAAGGTTCATGACAGGCAGATAAACTTTACAGGCTATCTGAGGCTCAGTGCGGGCTTGTGAAAGCTCAGTAAAGAATGGTGCAGGTGAAGGCTCAAAACAGGCTGGTGGAGGCTTAGTATTGGGTTGTGCATGTTTAGTACAGGCTGGAGTGCGCAGTAGCGACGGCTCTGGTGACTGGACAGAAGGTTTTGGCTGCGACGTCGTAGATGCTCCCCGACTCCTTGAAGATTGGCTCCAGGTGACTCAGCTTATTCCACATGTGAATCACGTAAGAGTCTGAGAAAACCTGTAACAGGAGGTGATTATAACACTGTTAACGAACTGCAAGAAATAATCTAATACAAGAAAATCTCTGGATGCATATACTATGTCATTCATAAAAAGAAAGACATATCTCGGACACCCACTGTAGATATTTTCAAGTTGCAGATATATGACATCATATTAACTACATGTGACGTTACGTTCCCCTGCATCCTAACCAAACCTGACAGTACAGAGGCTGAATCTAGAGAAGTTGCCTTCTGATACATCTCTCCAACTAGACTACAATCTGCCTAGGACTCGTATGTGAGTGGTATGACTAGAATTGTACTGACACAGCCTTTACTAGTGCTGACACAGTTGTATTCGTCATTCAACTCGGTGTACTGAGAGATCTGTTACACGTAAGGGAAATTTAGTTACGGTTTGTTACAATTTATCATCGTACTGGGACAATTTTTCATGTTTCGGTTCTGATTTTTCCTCATACTTTATTAAAATGTTGCAAATGCTAAGAAGAAGAAACCTTTGAACCTCTCACTAGGCAAATTGTCGAAAGCAGATCTTCTCTTACAAGGACCAATACAGTGTTTACACAGGATCCCTGGAAGATAAGGCCGAGGTAACATACATCTTCGAAGATCATAACGTAATTCAGCTCTCGGGGCTTGTAAGTAGTCGTGAATTATTAAATGTATTACTTATCACACGGACTCTGAGGTCTCTCCTAACACTTAAGGTTAATAAAAAGAAACTCTGATATCAATATATTATATAAGTTTATCTAAAATTTTATCCTAAATAAACAAAAGGTAGTCATCTAAGACTATGACATTGTAAGACCTTTACCCGCTCTGCCTGAGGCAGAGCGGGTAATAGCTGGGTAAATAGCTGTGGGTAAATAGCTTGGCAAATAGCTGTCAGACATGCCGAGAGGCATGTCTGACAGCTATTTGCCAAGACAAGGTGTGGCCATTTACTTGGTTAATTAGATCTCCCTTAGCGACCTCAAAAGCACAGTTGAACTACATCAAAGCATCATGGGACACATAATGGGACACATGGAACATTGAAATTGTGGGGCACAAAGGAGTTATTGATACATATTACTTAACAAACCACATATCTGATCCCTTGGCTTTGTGGGGTATTGGAATAGATATACCAAGAGAGCTGCTATGTTGGAGTGGGATGATACATGGCAGACTGTGGCAGCTAGTACAACCACGTCACAGAAATGCTGGTCGTAAAAGCCAACCTATTGTAATCTCTGTGACTGGTGCAGAGTAGGGCCTGACACACGAATGGACCACGGTTCGAATCCCCGTCCATTCTTCTGCTTATTTATCGACAGTCGTTCATTATGATATTTCTGTGGCCTGAGAGGCAGAAGAAAAGATGTACAGGGAAAGCTCTTGGGGGGATGGAGAGAGGGGTTGTAGGACGAGATGGTGGCAGCCGGTACAGTCATGTCGCAGACGCTGTAATGTAATGACTGTCAACGAGAAGAATGTTCGGGGACACGCATGGACCAGGGTTGGAGTCCCCATTCATTCATTCATTCATGAGGATTCAGTGGCCAGACTCTCTTAGAAAGGTAGATGAGGCCCCTGTGTGTAGTGTCTTTGGACCTGTGGCTAGCAGCTTTGGTCTCCTGGGAGTGATATACTAAAAACTCTATTTTGCACTGCAAGTGTATATTTAATTTCGTCAGTTTATTGAATTTTCATTTTTCAATTATCAAATCCTTCCTCTTTCTCCAACTGGATATCAACCTTTCCTCTCCCCACCTTCTATAGTGCACGTCAACCACTGGATCCCACAAGGGAAATGAAGGGGTCACATACTCACCTCGGCGAAGTTGATTGATCTCTTGAAAGGTAGGAACGCAAATTGCCATTTTCCAGGTAGTATTGGATAAAAGGCCTTCCAGGAAAGAAGGCTCACCCCTCCACAGTAGTCTCCTGGAGTCAGCCTGGGCTTCCCACACACCTCTTTCATCACTTGTGTGAACAACATAGGGCCATTCTTACCCCAGATACTGCCCTGGTCCAGGTGAAGAAGTAAGCAAGTATCACACACTATAATAAGCTCCAGGAAAGGGTGGAACAATACGCCATTTTGAATAAAAATAATAGAGGAAAATGGAAGAGTTACATTGTGAATATCTCTTGAAGGACGTGACAGGCTGGTGATCAAAGGAACTGGAGCTACTAACTTAACTTGAACCTGAAGGACTGAATGCCTTCAATGGATTTAAATGAAGTTATCGCTTCCTCATTAATATAATAACATTTATGTTATATGACTTCGATGCTTACACTATTTAATAAGAAATGCATAAAATAAATTAGCAGAACTTGTAATAAAAAATTGAAACGAGTACTGAAGGGAAATGCTAATGTGATCATACAATTTACAGCCAGTTCTACAAGTCGCACATATTTATAAAGAATGACAAAAATTTCAAAGTGCTTCATCCCTCTGAGATCAATTGTTATTAGTTTTGTGAGATCAGCACATACAGAGTTTCAAAAAGATTAGTCAAGATATTGATGCTTACAGCTGAGAGGATACAATTTTTTTTATCCAAATCAGAAAATGTTGACCTAAGGCAAATGGGTTTAGTGCTTCCCCCTGCTTAAAATAAATATACGAGCATTGAATTTTGACACTGATTTCAGATTTTTCAACAATAATTCCACTCCCATGTTTAGCTACGCTACAGTAAATCAAATATCCAGCGCCTGTAGCCGGAGTGCTTCTATACTAAATTTTACATTTTCATTTTGTGTGTGTTGTGTGTATGCGTGTATGCGTGTATGCATGTGTGTGTGTGTGTGTGTGTGTGTGTGTGTGTGTGTGTGTGTGTGTGTGTGTGTGTGTGTGTGTGTGTGTGTGTGTATGTCGTGCCGAATAGGTAAAACTGGTCAATTAGCAAGAACTCATTTAAAATTAAGTCCTTTCTAAAATTTTCTCTTACGTTTAAAGATATATTTTTTTCATTTATGTTAATTTAAAAATTAATAATTTTGTATGAAAAGATCTTTAGAAAACTTACTAACCTTATTATAACAAGAGCAATTTAATTTAGCTTAAACCAACTATATACAGTGGTACCTCGGTATTCGTCCTTAATCCGTTCCAGGACTTTGGACTTATACCAAACAGGACGTATACCAAACGAATTTTCCCGTAAGAAATATAAGGAAAACCATCCTATCATTGTCCTAGCCGATGAGGTAGAAACATTGTTGTGGTCTTTGAAGGTGAGATCCTCTGACATTATCACTCCCAGGTTTACCTGGAGTTTACCTGGAGAGAGTTTCGGGGGTCAACGCCCCCGCGGCCCGGTCTGTGACCAGGCCTCCTGGTGGATCAGCCCCTGATCAACCAGGCTGTTGCTGCTGGCTGCACGCAAACCAACGTACGAGCCACAGCCCGGCTGATCAGGAACTGACTTTAGGTGATTGTCCAGTGCCAGCTTGAAGACTGCCAGGGGTCTGTTGGTAATCCCCCTTATGTATGCTGGGAGGCAGTTGAACAGTCTCGGGCCCCTGACACTTATTGTATGGTCTCTCAACGTGCTAGTGACACCCCTGCTTTTCATTGGGGGGATGGTGCATCGTCTGCCAAGTCTTTTGCTTTCGTAGTGAGTGATTTTCGTGTGCAAGTTCGGTACTAGTCCCTCTAGGATTTTCCAGGTGTATATAATCATGTATCTCTCCCTCCTGCGTTCCAGGGAATACAGGTTTAGAAACCTCAAGCGCTCCCAGTAATTGAGGTGTTTTATCTCCGTTATGCGGGCAGTGAAAGTTCTCTGTACATTTTCTAGGTCGGCAATTTCACCTGCCTTGAAAGGTGCTGTTAGAGTGCAGCAATATTCCAGCCTAGATAAAACAAGTGACCTGAAGAGTGTCATCATGGGCTTGGCCTCCCTAGTTTTGAAGGTTCTCATTATCCATCCTGTCATTTTTCTAGCAGATGCGATTGATACAATGTTATGGTCCTTGAAGTTGAGATCCTCCGACATGATCACTCCCAGGTCTTTGACGTTGGTGTTTCGCTCTATTTTGTGGCCAGAATTTGTTTTGTACTCTGATGAAGATTTAATTTCCTCATGTTTACCATATCTGAGTAATTGAAATTTCTCATCGTTGAACTTCATATTGTTTTCCGCAGCCCACTGAAAGATTTGGTTGATGTCCGCCTGGAGCCTTGCAGTGTCTGCAATGGAAGACACTGTCATGCAGATTCGGGTGTCATCTGCAAAGGAAGACACGGTGCTGTGGCTGACATCCTTGTCTATGTCGGATATGAGGATGAGGAACAAGATGGGAGCTAGTACTGTGCCTTGTGGAACAGAGCTTTTCACCGTAGCTGCCTCGGACTTTACTCTGTTGACGACTACTCTCTGTGTTCTGTTAGTGAGGAAATTATAGATCCATCGACCGACTTTTCCTGTTATTCCTTTAGCACGCATTTTGTGCGCTATTACGCCATGGTCACACTTGTCGAAGGCTTTTGCAAAGTCTGTATATATTACATCTGCATTCTTTTTGTCTTCTAGTGCATTTAGGACCTTGTCGTAGTGATCCAATAGTTGAGACAGACAGGAGCGACCTGTTCTAAACCCATGTTGCCCTGGGTTGTGTAACTGATGGGTTTCTAGATGGGTGGTGATCTTGCTTCTTAGGACCCTTTCAAAGATTTTTATGATATGGGATGTTAGTGCTATTGGTCTGTAGTTCTTTGCTATTGCTTTACTGCCCCCTTTGTGGAGTGGGGCTATGTCTGTTGTTTTTAGTAACTGAGGGACGACCCCCGTGTCCATGCTCCTTCTCCATAGGATGGAAAAGGCTCGTGATAGGGGCTTCTTGCAGTTCTTGATGAACACAGAGTTCCATGAGTCTGGCCCTGGGGCAGAGTGCATGGGCATGCCCATTTATCGCCTGTTCGAAGTCATTTGGCGTCAGGATAACATCGGATAGGCTTGTGTTAATCAAATTTTGTGGCTCTCTCATAAAAAATTCATTTTGATCTTCGACTCTCAGTCTGGTTAGCGGCTTGCTAAAAACTGAGTCATATTGGGACTTGAGTAGCTCACTCATTTCCTTGCTGTCATCTGTGTAGGACCCATCTTGTTTAAGTAGGGGCCCAATACTGGACGTTGTTCTCGATTTTGATTTGGCATAGGAGAAGAAATACTTTGGGTTTCTTTCGATTTCATTTATGGCTTTTAGTTCTTCCCGCGATTCCTGACTCCTAAAGGATTCTTTTAGCTTAAGTTCGATGCTTGCTATTTCTCTGACCAGTGTCTCCCTACGCATTTCAGATATATTGACCTCTTTTAGCCGCTCTGTTATTCTTTTCCGTCGCCTGTAAAGGGAGCGCCTGTCTCTTTCTATTTTACATCAGGTCCTTCACATTTCTTTTTCGTTCTATTGTATGGTTAGAATTTGTCGTATACCCTGACGCATTTTTAATTTCCTCAACTTTTCCATATCTGAGTGGTCGAAATTTCTCCTCGTTCAACTTCATATTGTTTTGAGTGGTCCATTCGAAGATTTGGTTGATGTCCGCTTGGAGTCTTGCAGTGTCTTCGATGGAGGTCACTGCCATGGCAATCCGAATGTCATCCGCAAAGGAGCTATGGCTTACATCTCTGTCTATGTCAGAAATAAGGATGAGGAATAGAATGGAAACAAGTACTGTGCCTTGTGGAACAGAGCTTTTCACCGTGGCTGTCTGGGACTTTACTCTGTTTGCTATTACTCTTTGTGTTCTATTTGTCAGGAAGTTATAGATCCATCTACCAACTTTTCCTGTTATTCCTTTATCACGCATTTTGTGTGCTATTACACCATGGCCACACTTGTCAAAAGCTTTTGCAAAGTCTGTGTAGACAGTGGAACCTCTTTTAATGAGCGCATCCACGTGCGAGCTTTTCCAGATACGAACAGCTGATCAGTCGATTATTTGCTTCCATAGGTGAGCGATTTCCAGATGCGAGTGGGACTCAAGGGAGGTTCCTTGACGCTGGTGAGGGGCTCTTGATCTTGATCTAGGGAATTGGATCTCATTTGTTTGTTGGACTATTTTATTGAAACTTGGGCAATGTATGATGGAAAGATGTTTCTTAACGTACACCAAAATTGAAAGAAATCTGACTGTAAATAGCAGAGTTCACTTCTCAGCTATTAGCCGGCCCTTAGCGGTATATTTTCGTATGGTTTTTATGGTTGTATACTCGTTTTTTTTTTGTCTCAACTGATAGAATGGAAGATATATTACAGAAATAGATATGATTTTGATTGCTTTCACAACGAAAAGTGCCTTGAAATTGAGCGCAAAGTAGCGGAAATGTTTGATTTTTGTCGACGTTCATGAGCAAACAAATGACGTCACCGAGTGGCCATTCCAATATACATTCACGAATGGGTTGACATTAGTTGTACAATTATTACAATAATGCAGTACTCTGCATAACAGTAAATCTTCTATTTTTTGTCTGAATAAAAATTCCAAATGGTAAGCAAGAGTATTCATTATATGAATACGTACGAACGTACCTACTACTACTACTACTACTACTACTACTACTACTAATAATAATAATAATAATAATAATAATAATAATAATAATAATAATAATAATATTAATAATAATAATAGAAAGGGGGTAAGGCAGCTGGGGTTGATGGGACAAAGATAGAAATGTTAAAAGCAGGTGGGGATCTAATTTTGGAGTGGTTGGTGCTATTATTTAATAAATGTATGGAAGAGGGTTAGGTACCTAGAGATTGGCAGAGAGCATACATAGTTCCTTTGTATAAAGGCAAAGGGGACAAAAGAGAGTGCAAAAATTATAGGGGGATAAGTCTGTTGAGTATACCTGGTAAAGTGTATGGTAGAGTTATTATCGAAAGAATTAAGAGTAAGACGGAGAGTAGGATAGCAGATGAACAAGGAGGCTTTAGGAAAGGTAGAGGGTGTGTGGACCAAGTGTTTACAGTGAAGCTTATAGGTGAACAGTATTTAGATAA